GCAAACACTACATTCTCACTAAAGAAAATATCGGATTTTCTTGGAAACATACAGTTATACATGGTTTTACACAAAATTAAAAACATTACATTTTCACTAAAGAAAATATCGGATTTTCTTGAAAATACACAAACACATTTACGAACTCATCAACAAGTTTTCATTACAAACAACCGCTTATGAACTCACCAGCTTTATGCTGATATTTTAAAACTGCTTGTATTCTCAGGAAATCAGTAGACAGGTACTTGCTGAATTTTTGAGAAGCTGGAGCAATAAGAGTTTTATGCAAGTTTATATTTTACAAATTATTTGATGTAATTCAAACAAGTTTCAGACAAAGTTCCAAACTGATGTAATCATTTTCATTTAAATATTCACTGTAATGGTTGTGTTGCTATGATTGCTATTATTCATTGGTTGTGATGCTACGCATGACGTCCTCCACCCAAGAACGTTTCCGCCATTCTGGTTTTAGGGTGTGACATGTGAGCATAAGACTATGATCGTATCATAACACTCACATGAATATGTGGTATTTTGGGGAACATACTAAGCTTTGTGTTTACTAGTTTAAGTTTAACTATTTCAGGTTGTCCCGGTAGCAAAGAGAAGAGTGTGACTTGGTTGCATTGCATCCATGGATATGTTTTGGAGACTCCGCACTATTGTTTTCATTATCTATCATTTGGGAATGAAATTGGAATGATTGGTTTTAACCAAAGATGAAAAAAATTGGTTGAAGTTTGGGATGTTACACATATAGTCCTTTATTCATTCCCCGCTAAAATTGCACCAGATATAATATTTATTTGCAATACTAATATGCGACCTTTTTTCTTCTAACATCACCCCTATGTGTCCAACTGAACATTCAATTTAATCCTGGACTCGATCACCAACATAATGTCCAACATATAAAAAACGCCAAAGCACTTCCCTTGGATCCTCGCGAAGCATTTGGTGTAATGTCAAGGAAAACAATATACATGTTGAGATTCGAATTGATGAAGCCTGATTTTAACGGGGAATGGTTATATGTCTCTGAATGAGATATGAAATTAGGGATGACAGTGTAACGGGTTTTGACACTGATCTCATCAAAACGCTTAAGAATTATATGAGTTTGGAGCATAGTTACTAATTTGTTTACCCGTTAACGACCCATACCCGCTAACCCTTTTATTAAAAGGGGCGGTACGGATCATTACCAATCCGCTCCGTTTATAACCCGCCCCGTATAAATTTTAGCATTATACGTTTATATTTTATCATGTCTAAAATTGATTTTTAATTCCAATTGAAAGTCCAAAGAGCAAAAGCCAAATACCAAACTATTTTTTATATAAGACTCAAGGAGCCGACTTCTAGTCTTCTACCAAGAATCATGATATCATTTCATTAATATTTCATCAAAACAATCAGTAATTTCATTTATAAATCAATAAAGTGATTTAGCAATGAGAAGAAAGTTTGCAATTGCTATTATGTGGCGGGTTTGGATATTTGTTGATTATGTGGATAATGGTATGAGTTTGATTATTCAAAACCTTGCGGGTTACGAAGTGGGTTTGTATCAGATTACTAAATTTGTTAAACGGGTTTGGATCAAGATCGATTCGCTCCTAACGTGTCCCATTGCCAGGTCTATCTGAAACTAGTCGTAGACTGGGAATACATATCACAGATAGTCATTGATATATCTCCTAGGGACCATTCAATCTTCCAATGTCTTCTAAATTAACTCTAGTAGAACACTATCATACGTCTAGAGCATCATATGAGAATCCTAATTACTTCTCTATATTTCTCAATAAGACATCTAAGGAGGTGAATCGGGTCAGTTGTCGACCACCTATTTGAAACCAAATTGGTTATCTGTAATATCGTCACATTACATAACGCAACCTCAAGTACCCTATCCCATAGTTAACTATAAAGATTTCAGTATTGTTAAAAAATTTTTTCTAGCATTTGATATCAAACGGTTATTACATAACCTAGCCTCAAGTAGCCTCTCCTATAGTTAACTATAAACATTTCACTAGTACTAAAAAAATTAGCATTTCGTATCAAACCGTTACTCAATTTTATTTTCCTTTAGTTCCTAATGCTTCACCATCTGAATAACATTTCACTAATTGCATAGATATTAACCTTATAAAACAGAATGTTTTTCTAAATTCATATGTAATCCAACAACTACACCACTTTTTCCTTATATTTCTCATTCATCCGGCCTTTACTCCAACAACCTTCCCCGACCTCGTTGCTCCCCGTTGCTCTCTATATTAGGCTATCATGTATACTCTCCATGCCAAGGGTCGTGAAGAGCTTCCAAGTCAGTCACCTCAGGTCACCACGAACCACCGGAGTACTCTCCACTACCGGAAAGAAGATAAAGAAAGAAGAGAGAGAAGAAGAAGCTGAGAGGAAAGAAGAAGACCATTGGTCGTTTACGATCATGATGCCTACCATGAAACACCACGAAACACACGAACGGCCGGGCTGATGTGCACGACCGTTGTTCGTTGCCATGTCATCAACAGACAGCTTGTTGTGAGCATACCGGTTAGTCTAATATTTATTGTGTCACGCTGTGGGTGAAAACAATCGCCCTTTCTCGATAGTTGAAAGCCTTCTTTTATTATTAATATGTTGTTTACCATAAAAATATCTTTTTATATTCTAATTAGAGAAAGTTCACTTAGTTATGAAAAAAAGGCTTTTTTTATTGATCGCAAAAAACTTTATAAGGAAAATTGGACTACTAAATTATGTCATTGATGATATAATGAAATTATAATAAAAGTCAGAACACATGCTTCACGGTCTAACCTGTCATGCTACATCCTTCTAGACCAAAATGGGAAGACCAAATATCTTTTCTCCTACATTCTCAACATAAGCCGCACCTAATAAGAACTCCATCCAAACTCACTTCTGGATTTTAGCCACAATGGAGTATCTTTTCGTCGCCATCGCACTACTTGTCGCTTCATTTCTCTTCTCTTCATACTTCCGCCGCAAATTTTCCAACCTCCCGCCGACTCTCTTTCCAACCCTCCCGGTAATCGGCCACCTGCACCTTTTGAAGAAACCCCTCTACAGGACATTGGCTACAATCTCCGCCAAACACGGCCCAATCCTGCTCATCCGCTTTGGATCCCGCCGCGTCTTAGTGGTCTCCTCCCCTACCGCTGCGGAAGAATGTTTCACTAAGAACGACGTCATCTTCGCTAACCGCCCTCGGTTTCTTGTTGGCAAGATTCTTGGCGACAACTACACCAGCATAGGCTGGGCACCATACGGCGACCACTGGCGCAACCTTCGCCGGATCTCCTCCATCGAGATCTTCTCATCTCATCGCCTAAACGAATTCCATGACATACGCGCTGACGAAGGAAGACTACTTATACGTAAGCTGATCTCTGAAAGTTCTTCGCCGGTAAACTTCAAGTCGGTTTTGCAGGAGATGACGCTGAACGTGATGATGAGGATGATATCGGGGAAGAGATATTTCGGTGGAGATATGAAGGAAGAAGGCAAACAGTTCCAGGAGATAATTAAGGAGAGTGTTCTGGTGGCAGATACTTCGAATTTAGGGGATCACTTGCCCATTATGAGATGGTTTGGAACGAAAGGGTTGGAAAGGAAGATGATTGAGTTGCAGAAAAAGAGAGACGCTTTTTTTCAAGTGTTGATCGAGCAACATCGTAAAGTGGATGGGATTGAACCGGAAAACAAGAAGAACACAATGATTAAAGTGCTATTGCAGCTACAAAAAACTGATCCGGAGTACTACACTGATGAAGTTATTAGAGGCTTTGTGCTGGTAAATTAACAGATTCCCTACAATTTTACAGTTACATTTACCAAGCTTTAATTTAAGCATTTTTGAACATGATATCCTATATGTTTTGGGAAATCCTTTACTAATTCTTGTTGATGTTTAGAATCTGTTAACAGCTGGAACTGATACTTCTGGCACGACTATGGAATGGGCTCTTTCCCTTTTGCTCAACCATCCACATGTTATAAAGAAGGCACAGAGCGAAATCGACTATCATGTGGGGAAGGACCGTCTTGTTAACGAATCAGACATGAGCAAATTACCTTATATCCGTTGTATTGTGAACGAGACTTTGCGTATGTACCCTCCACTCCCATTACTAGTACCTCATGAGTCATCGGAGGATTGTGTGGTCGGAGGCTATCATATCCCACGTGGGACCACGCTACTAGTCAATCAATGGGCCATGCATCGTGACCCCGACTTGTGGAGTGACCCTGAAAGGTTTCAACCAGAAAGGTTCGAGAGCTTAGAAGGTACAAAAGATGGGTTTAGATTCATGCCATTTGGGTCTGGAAGGAGAAGTTGTCCAGGAGAAGGTTTGGCGATGCGTATGGTTGGGTTGACGTTAGGGTTGCTAATACAGTGTTTCGATTGGGAAAGGATTAGTGAAGAGATGGTTGATATGAGAGAAGGCCCTGGGCTCACCATGCCCAAGGCTCAACCTTTAGTAGTCAATTGTAGACCACGTACTGTAACACACAATTTAAAAATGTAAACTTATAAAGCAGGTTTGGCTTGGCATGTTAAAGTGAACTAGCTTTAAAATTGTAATGCGAAAAAGTCTACCGTACCGAATCTTTAATAAGGCTGGAGGGAGTGGTGCCACCGAAACCGTACTCCCTTCACCGCCACATGTGCGTCACGTCAGTTTTTACCACACAAATGTGGTTTCTTGACACACCAAGGGAGTGGTGCCACACTTTTATTTCTTTTTTTTTTGTTTTTTTAACTATTTTAATTTAATAAACTTTTTTTAATAAAACAACATATTTTTTCATTACTTGAAAATTAAAAAACCCATTACATTGAAAATTCAAAAAACATTACATTGCATTCCAAAAAAAAAAAAAATACACATGAAAAAAAAACACATTTTTGAGATTGGTGAATTTTTTTAAATAAAATAAAAAAATAGAGAGAAGAGTGTTTTTTGTTTGAAAAAAAATGAAGTGTATGTAGTATTTTATAGGAAAGAAAGTAAAAAGGAAGAAAAAAAAAACTAAACGGTAGTATTTTGACCTGATTACTCCCAACCAATCACATTGCACGGCTATAGAGGGCCGCGGTGCGGCCAAAACCGCAAGAGACCGCAGTGAGGGGGCGGTGTTTGCGGCTGAGGTGGCATAAACCGCGGCCCCAAACTACGGCCACTCCCTGCAGCCTAACAAGTGAATGAATCCAAGAAAAGCCATTTTTTTTTGCAGTCAGTCTTTGTCTATGTGCTATGGTCACATTAGTATTTTCATTCTAAAATTTAAATATTTAGTAAGATACATCCATATTGGTTAATAGAAATTGCATCACGTATTCTTAATTAATTTAAAAACACCATTTTATCCTTCCTTTTTTTATATTTTTGTTTTTCTTACCATTTTAATTTTTTTCACGTTTTATTTTTCTTAATTTTTGTGTATATTTTTTTCGTTTACATTTTATTTTATTTTATTTATATTTATTTTATTTTACTTTGATTTAACATTTTTTATTTAATGTTTTTTACATTTATTCATTTATATTTTCTTTTTGATGTTTTTTGAATATATTCTTAAAGTTTTTTTTACGTGTTGTTTGAATTCATTTTAATTTTTTTGACGTTTTGTTTATTTATACTTTTTAAAATATGTTTGTAAAAAATATAAAAAAGTTTGTTAAATGTGAATATTATTAACACAAATTAGGTATATAATTTTGTTGTTAATAGGATTAATAAATAGGCTAACTAAAATTCAAAAACATGTTCAAGTTACATGATGGCCAATTGGAAATCATATATCTCGAGAACGAACAAAATTTCTAAAAATAAAAAAATGAACTCGAAATCATTGACATATGTTTTTGAGTATTAACATTTGCCGATCGAAACAAAATGTAAAAAAAATTATAAAACTAAAAAAATTGAACTTAAAGCCATTGAAATTTGTTTCAAATTCCGATTAGCCTATACAATAACCCTATTAAAATAAATAATTTTATACCTAATAAGTTTTAATCGTATTCATATTTAACAAAAAAAATTTATATTTTTTTATACAAAAAGTATTTAGAAAAAGCTTTCTAAAATTAAAAAAAAAATAAAAGATCAAAAAAGCATTAAAAAAATATATTCAAACAAAAAAAAGAAAAAAAAAACTGGAAAAATTATTCAAAAACAAACGTCAAAAAAATGTAAATAAAAAAAATATAAAAACATTAAAAAATATATACAAATAAAAT